AAAGGGCAAAGAGTCTAATTAATTATTAATACGATTTCAAAACTACAATATCCTACCATATTTTCATAGAATATTCCGCGGTATAAGCCATTACTATTCATGGCTGTTTTTAGTATTTCAATACCATTGTAATAACGTGCAGGTTCTGTGTTTCCAAATTCCAAATTCCAAATTGATTTTTTTCTGCAAAATTTCTTTATTCTTGAATCGATTATTGATTCCAGAACTACGATCATTATTTAAATAATGATGCATTTTTCGTTTCGTTTCATTCTTATCAATTTGAATTACTTCTGCAGTATTTAATGCAGTCATTGAAAGAACAGTAGTAGTGGCGCTCACTGGAATGATACTTCCTCTGCCATTGAGCAAAATATATTCTAAGTACCCAAATATATGATTGACAATACTATTGTACAATTTATAGACTCCTTCCATAATTATAAATTACTTTAACAATTGCAAAATTATCTAAATCCAAAATTATAATTTCTATCGAATTTATTCTACTAATCAATTTTGTAATAGTTATTCGATTTTTCATTATCTGCATAAGAAAATAATGACGCATTTTATTATACCATAAATTATAATTACTGTTGCATAGTAACAATAAATTATAAATGGTAATTTATTAGCAAACATTTTATATGACGTCACTCCCTATTCTCGAATAGGAATCGAGTGTGTTTTCACAATTATTACAATAAAAATATACTGAGGGCCTTAATCGAGATAAAAACTATATTTTCTTTTAAGTTGGATCAAACTACACACAGCGTAAAAAATGTCATCAAGATCGGTCCAGTAATTTCGGAGTTCATCGCAGACTAACACAAGATTTTTATATCTAAAATATTCATATAAATATATATACCTACCTATTATAGTGGCTATTGGCTAGTACCTAAAATCTAATTAAATTGATATAGGCAAAAAACCGCATTATTTAGATTTTAAGTAATTCAATAAGAGTAACACCATCTGATGGATTATTAATAAAAATTATAAACAATGATGACATTTTTTGAACTACCAATTTAGTTAAACTTTAATTTGAAATGTGCCAACCTATAGATTTGCTGAAAAATTATAATTTCACATTGAAATCCCTTGCCATACCTTAAGTATTTTAAGTTTTAAGTTTGGTTGAGCAGAGTGGGTCATAGACTCGGATTAACACTTTCGTAGGTCCTAGGTACCTATTCCCTTTTATTGTAGCCACTCTTTCATCATGCTTTCTTTCGTATTCATCGGCCATTTTAATATTACTACTATTTTAATTTTTAATAATGAACACAAGCCCGGATTAAGACCTTCAGGGGCCCAGGGGCCAATACACCGTTGTGGGCCCCCATCAATAAGCACAATTCTTTAAAATTATAAAAGTAGCTATACAAATATACAATAAAACAAATTTAAACCTTTTTATTTAAATATGATAATAATAATAATAATTAATAAATGATAATATATGATAATTAATGAGAGTACAAATATTAAAAAAAAAAAAATTATTTTAGTACAAATAAAGTTAAGTATTGTTTAAGTAAAAGTTTTTTTTCTAGATTTTTGAGTAGCAAATATTTCTAATGTTTTATCGAAGCTTAAATTTTGAATAACATCATATTTTCTGTTGATAAAATCATTAATGATGACAAATTATCTTGTGTTTGTGAAGATCTATTTTTATTTTTAATTCTAGCCAACTTCGAAAATGCTCTCTCTGCAGTACAATTAGCAACAGGAATGGTAAGAAATATTCTTAAAGCAATAATATGAATGTTAGGGAAAATATTAATAACATTACAATCAGTCATCCATTCAAATATCTTGTGTACATCACTTTCATCAAATGTTGGTTTTAACTGATCCCAAAACTGCTTGAAATGTACTATTTCATACTTTATTGAATCATCAACATCATATTTTTATACACTATAATGAATTTGTTAACACTTTCCTCAACATCAACAGTAGACTCAACATGTAGTCTAGTTAAGAATGTGTGAGAAAGACAGTGATAACAAAATATATCATATATTTTGTTATCACTGTCTTTATGCATATATTATATATGCCTATTCCCTATACACACAAACCTGGCTATGACGCTATGACGTGTCCCCACTTACCATGCTATACCTAGGTGGTAAACACGGTCGACGGGCCCCATCGAATGTTAGTTCAAACAAGAAAAAAATAAAAATATTCTTGTAGGTACTATAAAAAATTAAAAAGTGAAAATTTTCACTCGATGTAATTTTAAGCCGAGAAGATTATGGGCCCCGGGGACTTGCCCCCCCCCCTTAATCCGGGCTTGAATGATTATGTCGCATGATACTTAAAGACATAAAGTATATGATATAGCTTTAAAAATTCAAATGATAATTTAATAATATTCATCACTTCAGTTGTATTTTTCATTTAAATGTTAACATATTTATACTGAAATATTATAATGCATACTTTTGCATGTTTAGTAATTTTAAGCACATAATATAACATATTTATTAATTTTACAATACCACAAAAATAGCATTATTATAGCGATTATAGGTATAGATAAATAATATTTTTATTTTTATTTATTATTGTATTACATTTTATTATTTTAGACTTTTTAATTAATTCATTTTTTTCTAGTCCAAGACTTTTTATTTGACTTTTTCCATAATTTCTTACAATATTATTATAATAATTATCATGATAAATTAAATAGGTATGTCCATGATAAATTAAATTAAATTAAATTTATCATGATAATTATCTCGATAGTTATGAATTTATAATACAAAATAATTATGACCATAAAGACATTTTATTATTATAATCTATGATTTCAATCAAATTGGTGGGACATATTATTATAGTATACAATATTACAATAGGTATTATATTTAGAAATATTACCAAAAATTCTCAAAACAGTATCGGAGTTTCTCTAATCAATTATAAATAGTAATCAATAATCATACATCAGTACATCTGTATTTGCTAGGATGTCGTATTTATTAATACTCATATCGTATGCTCGTATGCAAGCGACATTTTATCGGATCCAATTTAATTTTTATAAGTAATTAGATTGCCGCCGATAGATAACGAATATTGAAGGGAATATTGTGTAGAACTATCTTTCATTTATATTGTCCTATTGTATTTGTCCTTCCCACTCCTTTTAGTCCTTTTGACTTAAAAAATCTCGTACACAACATTTAAAATTATTTAGTAATTTTTTTCTAACAACTTTCCTATGTAATTTTTTTCCAAAATTGTATACCCCTTTTGTATTTTAACAATCATATTTTACGTACACAAACAATTTTAATAATAGCCACTTTCACTCATTTGAGCTCATTTTTAAATAACTTATCTCGCCCCCCTCCTTCCGGAATTATAAATCATGTGCTTATAAAATGTTAATAATAGCCGTGACTGCTCCACTTTTTTCAAGTAATAAAGTTTGTTTTTTTTTCAAAATCATATGTTAAAATTACTTTTTTGTATTTTTCATGTATTTGAAAATGATATATTTTATAAAATTTATTTGACCGAGTCACTAGGTAGTACCTAACCCTAACCTAGTAAGTAGTAGGTACCTAGTGTGTGTGACGTTTAGTTCGTAAAATTAATAATAAAAATACTTTTTGTATTTGTATATACAATATACACAATTATACAAAACATTATTGTTTTTCCTTTTCCTGTATTGTCGAGTTATAAATCAATGAATTGCTACAGATTTCATGACTAAACATTTGTAAAAATATTAAATATATACTTTCAACAGAACAATTGTTTGTAATTTAAACTGAGTTGAGAGTATAATTGACTTACAGGAAATAAGACATAACGCTACACAAGTATTATATTATTAATTATGTTCCTAGAAATATTTAAATCATAAAACGCTAAACGCAAAAAAAACTGCGAAATAAATCATAAATAACGGAATAACCCCAGGGGATATGGCAAGGATAGGTTAGGTACTACTGTATAAGTGGTTTGTAAATAACACATATTATATGGAACGCTTGTCGAGTTGTATTTATATAAAGTAATGACGAAAAAAAATATTGTTTAATTAAGTTTGACTCATTAACGTTAACCTACCGATTTCATATTTTCTGTAATTATTGACCTGAAGTATGAATATATCTTATAATTTGGAAAAATCTTGTAACTGATAAGTGATATAGTACTGCACGTCTGCACTTGGGAATCACTTTTTGTTCGTAGCGATTGTTGAATGTACAATAATACAATAAAGTATACTGCAGTGGCGTGGCGAACATAGGTCCCAAACGCGATTTGCCCTCGTAAATTTTTGAGGGTGGGGAGGGGTATCCCCTTACTAGATATCACTTAATTTGTGGACCAACATTTCTGTTTATTGTGATAATTTACATTAAACAATGCAAGATAATGTGGGTTGCTTTAGGCTTACCAAAAGATGCTGAAAAAAAATGTTGGCACTTCAGCAATCTTTTATTTTGGTGGGGGTGGGAGGGTCTAAAATATATTGTATGTGAAGTCACTCTACTCCATCACTACCGTGTCCTGTATTTCAAAAGTTGTGTCGGGACCAACTTGGAATTTCCCTGGTTGTTCATGGTTAATGAACATCACGATCAATGTTTTACCATGACAATTGACAAAATATCTTGTTGCAGCAGCTGTATATTATGTATCGAATTATACATAAAAAAAAAAATACCACTATTCCAATCTACATCGGCTAATCAGAATACAATAAAAGCATAGACCTAATTCAGTATATTAAGGTCTATGAATAAAAGGCACACGACAGTAGGACACGAAAGATAACGTATCTTTGAACCCGATAAGAACATAATATTGTTTATAGAGAACATTTTATAATCTTGGTTAGTGGTTGAAATATAGCGGAACATTTTTGGAACCACTGCATTTTCTTATCAAAAATAGCTTGCGGTAAGTATATTCGGTCCCGTGACTCCTCTAATAACAATAATAATAATAATAAATTGTATGTAGCATTAAATTGTTAGTTTAATCTAGCCGTGACTTCAACTTTTTTTTAAAGAAAATGTCCGTTACTGTCCTTCGATGTGATATCGGTAAATTGTAATTTTATTCGATGTCATAAGTCAGTTTTATACCATATTAAGATGTACTTAACATTCCTATCGATGAAGTTGTAATATTATTAGTATTACTATTATTATCAAGTCGTGATTACTGGTGGTAAAACGCCGGCCGAATATTTTAATCAAGCCATCGTAAACGTAAGTAACTTACTTTCTAAAGTCTAGGGATAAGTGCTGTAAAATAAACGATGTTTTGTACGAAGCACCATACTTGATCAACTTCGAGGTGGCAAATATCTGTTGTATCCATGTGTAGTTTTGTTTGTTATTTAAAATTCACAATGCAAAATCGTTTGCTGTTTACTGTAATACTGTATTGTGTAATAATGTCATAATTAACATTTTCGATACTAATAGTCAGGATTGAATGTTAAATGTTTTGATATGATTAGATACTCTTCTGATTTCATTTAACTAGGCCTTAAAAAAACAATTCAAAGTTACAGGATCTCTAAAAGAATTAAGTAGATATTGTATATTTGTTGTATTACATAGTTTAATTTTCAAGTTGGTGCTTACTTAAAATTCTTCACACAAAAATGTCTTAAAAATATTTAACGAATACATCTTTATATGTGTGTTGTTTAATACCTAATTTATTAATTATCTAAGTAATCTTCTGTATTTTTCAATTAAGAGTATGAAATTGCTATTTCCAAATAATATAACTAGTGTAATTGCACATTCTTTTGACAATTTTCAATCAATATTCTATTTATCATGGTAAGAATACTTGGAAAGTAGGTAAGTTATTGTCCCAAAAGTTGTTTACAAAAAAAAAAAAATCACAGGACCCTCAAAATTATATAATACTATACTCTGTTTATGTATCTAAAATTTAAATGAAATAGATGTTACCATTTTTCCTTATAGATTCCAAAAATAATGGGTTCCACTATATTATATAAGCCATTAATGTTTGGCATGTCCAGTGAAAAACAAGAATCATTTTTAAAGATGACTATCTTGACAACTGCAGCAGTTCTATGTAAGTATAATAATAAATAATTTAATCTCACTTTTAGTATTTGAATAATTTAAGGAAATAAAAATATTTTCAGCTTTTGCAACGAGACTTTTTTCTGTACTTCGATTTGAAAGTGTTATTCATGAATTTGATCCTTACTTCAATTATCGAACAACACAATATCTGGCAGAAGAAGGATTTTATAAGTTTCATAATTGGTTTGATGATCGTGCATGGTATCCACTTGGTAGAATTATTGGAGGTAGTTTTTAAAGAATAAACATGTATATAATAACTGAAATAAAAATATATGATTGATGAAAAAAATTGTTACTAAACATCTTAATTTTTAGGTACAATCTACCCTGGCCTAATGATAACGTCAACTGTCATATACAACTCTCTTCATTTTATCAATTTAACTTTAGAAATTAGAAACATATGTGTATTTTTAGCACCTTTGTTTTCTAGTTTTACTACCATAATTACATTTTTATTGACTAAAGAGTTAAAAGACACCCGTGCCGGACTTATTGCAGCTGCCATGATAGCCATTGTTCCAGGATATATATCTCGTTCGGTTGCTGGATCATATGATAATGAAGGTAAATTATTTACACTTAATATTATGATTAAAATGTGATCAAATAATTAAAGTTAAAACATGATAAATGTATTTTTTTCAGCTATTGCTATTTTTTGTATGCTTTTGACTTATTATGCATGGATCAAATCTGTGAAAACTGGTAGTATTCTATGGTCTGCATTTACTGCACTTGCATATTTTTATATGGTATGATAAATATTTTAATTATAAATTGAAGTTTAATTTTATAAAAAGTATGCAATAATAAATAATAATTACTACAGATATAAAAATGTATTGAATTTGATTCACTGGTTTTAATTAATCTGTGCTAGGTGGTTAAGAATATCTGATTGCTTCTTTAAATGATACTTTTTTGAATAAAATGTGTTTTTTTTTTTAGGTATCATCTTGGGGTGGATATGTGTTCTTAATAAATTTAATACCAATGCATGTATTTGTTTTGATGGTTACTGGACGTTTTTCACATAGAATTTATGTAGCGTATAGTACAGTATATTGTATTGGTACTATATTGTCAATGCAAATATCATTTGTTGGGTTCCAACCAGTCCAAACTTCTGAACATATGATGGTATAAATACTATTTATTAAAACTTTTTGAATTTTATTGATATGGCTTCTTATTTATAAAGGCTTTAGGTGTATTTGGTTTATGTCAAATACTTGGTGGGATAAATTAMATGCGAACAAAGATTGTTGGTGATGATTTTGAGACATTGTTACAGTTTATTATATATTTAATCGGAGGCATTGTAATTGCTTTTGGTACTTTACTTACAATAACTGGTAAAAAACAAATAAATATAATTTAAAATATTTTTTTCATAACATTTTAAATTTTGAAGGAAAAATTGCTCCATGGACTGGCCGTTTCTATACATTATTGGATCCATCTTATGCTAAAAATCACATACCGATTATTGCATCTGTTTCTGAACATCAACCTACATCTTGGTCTTCGTTTTATTTTGACTTACATATACAGGTGTTTCTGTTTCCAGTTGGACTATATTTTTGTTTCTCAAAACTTACAGATGCTAATATTTTTGTGATACTTTATGKAGTGACCAGCATTTACTTTGCTGTTAGTAAATTTAAAATTATTTTTGTTTTAATTATAATTTTAAAACTTTTTGATATTATTTTAGGGTGTTATGGTGCGTTTGATGTTAGTTCTTGCACCAGTAATGTGTATCTTATCTGGTATTGGCGCTTCTTCTATGTTATCAACTTACATGACACAATATCTTGAAGGTTCATCAAAAGTACCAGAAAAAAAAACAAAGAAAAATGAAAATAGTAAATCAATGAAAAGCGAAGTAAGTTTATTGTTAAAATACTAAATTGGACTAAGCATTAAATAATTAATTTTTATTTCTAATATCTAGATTGCTACTGCATTTGTAACAATGTTAACTTTTATGCTGATTTCTAAGGTATTTCATTGTACATGGGTTACTTCTGAAGCATACAGTTCTCCAAGTATTGTGTTGTCAGCTCGCTCACATGATGGTTCTCAAGTTATTTTTGATGACTTCAGAGAAGCATATTATTGGCTACGTATGAATACAGCTGAAGTAATTAAAAATAATATTTACTTAAAAATTATATTTGCTTAAAATTTTTAAAAATGTTTAAAACTATTTATTCATTGTTTTAAGGATGCTCGAGTAATGTCATGGTGGGATTATGGTTATCAAATTACAGCTATGGCTAATAGAACAATTTTAGTAGATAATAACACTTGGAACAACACTCATATTTCTAGAGTTGGCCAAGCTATGTCATCTGGTGAAGACGAAGCTTATGAGATTATGAGGGAGCTAGATGTTGACTATGTACTTGTAATTTTTGGAGGTGTCGTCGGTTATTCATCAGATGGTAAATTAAAATATTTAACTTCTTATTTTATTTCTAAAATTAAATAAATATTATTTTATTCATAGATATAAACAAATTTTTATGGATGGTACGCATTGGAGRATCAACTGAAAAAGGTAGACATACGATCAAAGATTCTGATTATTACTCACCAAGTGGAGAATTCCGTGTGGATAAAGAAGGTTCAAAAAAATTGAAAAACTCGTTGATGTATAAAATGTGTTACTATAGATTTGGTCAAGTTTTTTCCGAAGGAGGTAATTAAATGAGTATTAAAATTATTTATTTCATAAGGAAGTTGGTATTTTGTATTTTCACCAATAAGTGGAGAAAATAAATCTTGTATCAAGTTAAATTTTAAATTATGATAATTAATTAGTGTCTTTCTAAAAATATATTGTCCTAAATTGACTAGAGTATTAAAAGAATAATTATGTCAAATTTTATTAAGATCAAAATAATTGAGTTTCTGCTTATTTTAAGGATACGTCAAATTCAAATTTAGATATTCGAAACTTGGTAAATTTATCTTCCATTTCTGATAATTTTTTTTGTTTGTGTACAATCCCTTGTAAAACAATTCATTATAAATATGTAATTTTCTCTAATATCTAAATTATATATCCATTATAATTTACATAATTTATTATTATTATTATAGGTAAACCAGCTGGTTACGATCGTGTTCGTAATGCAGAGATTGGGGTAAAAAATGTCACATTGCACGTAGTTGACGAAGCATATACAACTGAACATTGGCTTGTTCGTATATACAGGGTAAAAGACTACGATAATAGAGGAGGTAAAATGAAGCCAAACAAAGTATCAACTTACTATGAACAATGATACAATTTATACGAAACAATTATACGAACAAAACATTTTAATTTTAATTTAAAAACCTTGTGTTCTTTTTATAATTTTTATATATTATGTTGGTTATACAATATTTTGTTTATTCATTTAAAAAAAAAAAATTTCAATTGCTCAACTTTTGTGCTTGAAATTTACTAAATACATCAAAATATTCATTGGAATGTGCAATTTTTTTCCAAAGTAATAGACTGTTTTTTTCTATTTCGATTAAACTATAATTATTTATTCCTTATTATACCATTTATACCTATAATATAATAAAACATATGTACCTTTCATTTAATATTAAACATTAATTAATTGTATTGGTAAACTATCTTCTATTTAATCAGTTGAATGTTTCAAGTTTCATTCAGAAACATATACTTATTGGCTATTGCATAAAATATTTTCTCAAGTAAATTATTTCTTAAATAAATAAATTTGCATTTAAAAAAAATTTGTTGCTTTAATGGTAGTTTTAATTATGAATAAAATATTTTATTTTTGTACATAATAACTTATAATGAAATTGGGGGTTGGATATAAGCGAAATTTCAAAAATTGACAAACTATGGCTTATCAATGATAAATAGTTTGTTTTCGTCATGCCAAAAATAAAGTCTAAATTATTACAAATTCTTTTTTAAATTTTAATTTTAAATAACTTAATAATTTTTTTTCTTGGCCACTTTTTTGCATTTTGACATACAAATAATAAAATTATTAAGTTATATAAATTTAAAATTTGAAAATAAAATCTAAAATTTTGCTTGATCACCTTTTAGATGACAGTGATGAGATATAATATTGATACATTTTTAATGGCTTATGAAAAGTATAAATGCGAAGTGGATAATCTTTAAAATAAGTAGATGGCTGACAAAAATGTAGTTGAAGCTTGAAAACTATGAGTTCTGGAGTTGCTGAATTGGAAGAAACCGGAATCAAATCTCTAGTTCAATAAAATAAAAGAAGAAGCAATCCAGAGAATAAATCTGGGAATATGCCAATGTAACGCTTTTAGGTGGTAGCGGCGTAGGCCCTATGAATTCGAATTATGCTAAACTTGCCTAAAGAAGTTCCACTGCTTAAAAAAAAGATGGGAGAATACTTCAAATAACTACTAAATGGATCACAAAGCACCTACAGAGAACCAGTTTTAATAAAAACAAGATGAGAAGAATTAATACCTCAACAAATATTGAAAAATGATAGGCTAGGCATGGGAAATGGAAAAAAAATGAAAATTTTTAAGTCACACACAGTTATAATAAATTCCGAGTAATACCGAAAGCACTAAGTGTAGCTTATAAATTATAAAATTCTTTCGATCTTCATCTAATTGAGAAAAGTAAAAACAGCTGAAAAAGTAATTAGCTATTATCTAAGTGGTTTCGAGTAGGCTAATGACCGATCAGGTATTCATTAGAAAACAAGCTTTTAAAAACCATTGGAATTTCTAGAGGAATACATATTATCCACTATATTGATTTCCAAAAAGAATATAACAGAATATACGGTGTTGAGATAAAATATTCAGTGGAGAAATATCTTGTATTAAAATAGAGAAAATAATTTGATGTTCAAATTTTAGAAAACTTGTCAAAATAATGAACATATTTTGTATTCAATATTTACTAAAATGTAACTAACATTTACTAAATTAAAAAAATTATAAACTAAAAAAAATACTCGAAACATAATTATTCATAATTTTTGAATAGGTTTTCTGGAATTTAACTCGGTGGCCCGATTATATTTTGGTAGATTAAGAGTACGCAATAAACTTAATTGCTCTAATATATTATAACAGGTTTATTTATTTATTACAAATGCACGAGAGTTTTGTGCTAGTAAAAGTTCTAAAACTCGGTGCGTTGTTTTTTCCCCTATTTGGCACTGTAAATTAAAGTTGAAAAGTCATCAATAATTCATCATTTTCGAATATAGCTGACAAAACTCCAAGACCTAATACTGTAGCTATGAAAAATACATCACTGTAGTTTTATCCGGTGTTCGGAACGTTCACTAATAAAACAAATTCGTTCACGTTCACGTTCTTTGAGAAAATGAACGCGTTCAWAAGGTCATTCATCTAATTTTTTGTTTATAAATAGTTTTATCAGCAGTTTGTATAAAAACCATTAAACATATAGGTTTCAACCAAAAAAAAAAAAACAATTTAGACTTTAGAACATATACATTTTCTAAAGTATCTAAATTATATACATATTGTATTTATTAAATAGTAAATGAATTGAGTGTCTTCAAAATCGTTCAAATTAATTAAAAATATAAACGTCGTTCACGTTCACATTCTATTTAAAAAAAAACGAGCGACGTTCACGTATCGTTCACTAACTATGAACGTGAACGTGTGACCATGCGTTCATGAGCGACGTTCTCTTCAAACACTGGTTTTATCACATCTTTGATGATGTAATACTTACATCTTGTGTAAGGTCTACCTAGGGATCTTCTTCCTCTCATCTCTGTCAACATTTATCAGTGTTGGTTCAATGATTTGTTCATACACGACATAATTATTCAAATCATCTACTTTTATTAAATGAGAGGATTTTTAGCTTTATAAAAGTTTGTTTGTAATCTTATTTTTTATATCGTTACGTTTCTTGCATCGGTTACATAAGGGTCTGTACATATTTTAAAACATTTTTAACTCAAAGACGTTTTTATTCTGGCAGTTGCCTAAGTTTCACAGTCATAATAGTATGTTAGAATTTTAGGATTTCTATTATATACATATATTCAATACTATATAACAAGAAATATTAATTCAAAATCAAATTCAAAATAGTTTGATTGCCTCGCATAATTTTAGCAGCTGGTTAGGTAAATTTCAATAAAATAATAAATTATAATACGTATTGTCAATTTATAACAAAACAAATGGATACACGACACCTGTGTACTTAAACTGCCTATTCACAACGCCGTGTTACTAGAATGTACTATCTTAATATACAATATCATAACAGATAGGTACATAATTAATTTTGAACGAATAAGCGTATTTATTAAGTAATTTTTATTAAGGGGCTGAACCCTAAACAACGATTTAAAACATAATAGAATTTACAATTTCAACAATTAATAGATACGAATAAGTGAATAACACATGTAAGTTAAATAATTATAACTTAAAAGTGTCTTCGTCTATTTTAAGTTTAGATGTGTTGTGGTCTAGAGTTATTACACTTGACATTTTTTTCAGTCTCTCATTTAAATTGTAAACACTTATGAGCTATTTGATTATTTATTTACTTCATTAAATGGGCCAATTCCCTAGGTAAGTGTTATAACAATGTAGATTTAAACAAAAATGAAAAGATAACAATATAAATTATAATTAAATAATTGAATGCTTATAAGAAATTAAATTTATGTGTATCAAATTCTGAAGAAAATATTATGCTTTGGAATATGAAATTTACAAATCATGTTTTCACTCAAATATCTAATTGATTAAAAATATTACAATGATAAAATAAACATATAAAATATAATATTWCTTTCAAAAATAATGATTTGTAATGATTTAAAATTAAGAAAAAAAATATTTTAAAACATTTCCTTGGAAACCTGTATTCTTATAGTATTGTACTATAGTCTCATACTAATAAAATAATCATATAGGTACGTAGGTGCTTTATGTTCTAAGTAGTATTTTACGATTTTTTTGGAGTAGTCAAGATAACTCACCTATAACATAATTATAATATTGCCATATACATATACATATAACCAGACCTTCCATATCAAATTTTGGGCCTATTCACTAAATGTTTTTACTGGCCGCATTACATATTATTTAATATAAAATATGTATTCCTATCAAAGTATCAAAATTTCAAAAATAAAAATTTCATTTCAGCTAACTTTTAAAGTAGCCGATGTCTTGTACTTCAGGTCAAACAGCTATTCCCCTTTGTGGCCTTGTGGAAGATCTGCTATAATATGCAAAAATGCTCTGGCAGCTATTTACACGGGCATTGGTTAATAATTGCCATTATTTTCAAATCTTTCCATCGTTTCGGGAAAGATACAAGCCAATAGAAAATAAAAAAACTTGTAACTTACATAAACTAACAGCACGTATGGCTTTTAATAAATAAAGTATAATATATCAGCTAATCATAACGACAACAAAAAATATTAAAAATATTGTGATGCAAATAATGACTTCTAATTATTAATTGTAAAAATTAGCAAATATAATATTTCATTTGTTAATATAAGCCTTCAAAATATTTAAAGATTTATTATGTAAATTATGAATTTTGCAAGTGTAAAAAAATCAAATAGCCACAGTGTGATAAAATAAATAAACGAGACAAAAACATTTTTTTAAGTAATGTTAAAGGAGATTTTGTAGAAATTCCGAACACCCTTAATCACAAAGTACAATAATGGTGTGCACTTGAAAAATGAGAAGGGTTATATTTAATATGCTGAAGTTAAAGTAGCTAAATATGGACGACCAAGATGGAATCCCGAGAAACTAATTTATTCGTTTAGATGATTTTAATAAATCCCTTAAGGTCAAAACAAACAATATTTTTGAACTAAGGATAACACATTTATAAATAATATTATCTTCGAGTGTGTTTGATTTTTAGGTTTATATTAGCTATAAAAGTTATTAGGTGTTGTATAATTAAAATATAGTTAGTTATTAAGGTATATCTAATAATATAGGTACTATACGTATTGTCACTCAAAATGATGACAAATTAAAAATTGAAAACATGATTTTAAATGTATTATATTAATGTTTTCACGTTAACTACTATCACTACTAATAAAAATGTTGAATTTGTATTGTATTGACGTTTACGTATGCATAATATTAAAATGATTAAAAATATAGCATCTCATCAAGTGTTTTTGACTGTATTAACTATTAAGTGCCCGAGGAAATATAATTGGTTTAATCAGTTTAAAATAATTTAAAATAATAATACCTAGGCACCTAACTAATTATGCTAAAATGTATATTGCAGTATATACTTAAACTCAAGAGAAAATAGGTAATATATATAAATTATGTTGAATATGATCATAAAGGTAAGCAATTTAATATAACCAAAATTTATAATACATTTTTTGTACATTATAAAACTATTAAAAACATATAGTAAGTAGATKATATATTTATAATTCTCATTAACGAATATACCACGCGCGATCTCTTTTAGAATGAAGATGAACTCAATTAAATGGGTAAAAACTATATAGGTACACTTGAATAAATTATTTGCATTTTCATTGTTAATACAACTAGGTACCAAAAAATATAATGATTATAAAAAATGATTATATTATATTGTGACTATCTAAATTCTAACTAATATCAGTACTTCATTGTTTCATTTCTTTTCATTATCATTTATCAACAATTTTAAGGTAGTTTAAGGCAACAGACGATATAAATTAATACCTATTACATATTTTTAAACTGTATTCAAGCAATAATTATTGAAATACAGCCAATTCCAATTCTCAGTACTCGTTAAAATATTCATTTATATACACATAATAAAATAAAAAAACATAAATATAGGTAGTCAAAATCAATATAAGGATCTGTTCTGTGGCTTGATGACCGTTGGTTATGTTCCTAAATTCTAGATTTTATCTGATATTACAAATTTGAAATTATAATAACACTCAAGTACATAGTATCATGTTGTTCCATAGAACTGAGCACAGATCATAATACCATGGTTATTTTTAAAATTATTATCCCGAAATATAATTATACCTAACACGAGTAATATAAACTGTACGCATCACCACATTTTGGTTTATAATATTATGTACCTACTCTAATTTATCTATCACACAATATTAACGAAAAACTGATACCCATCATAAAAACTGATAGTTTTAATTAAACTACAGCTATTAAAACTTGGTAGGTATGTAAATGTTGACGGATTGACAATAATTATCGCTAATAATAAGTATGAAATATCTGTGGTGGCCAGACAGGTTAGCAAATATTAGCAACGGCATGTGTTTTCGAGGTGGGTGGGTGTAAGTATTAGTAGTTATCACAGGGAAGCTTATAAAATTGTAATGTAAACTATAGTCTATAATAATTGATTTTCGCRAACCACAGTGAATAATAAGTGAGAATATTGGGTGGTTAGTAAACTTTTTTTAATCGCATTTACTGACTTTTGCAAATTAATAAATTTACTTTTTAAATTATTTTTTTTGACAGTAATATTCATTTTTAAAATCGTAATTCAAATATATCCTCATCACTTACCGGCTACCATAAATAACACTACAGAATTAATATCAATTTATGTGTGCAAATGTATTATTATATGGATAATTCTGTACACTATAACAACATACAGAATGATTCACCAATCAAAGTTCTCGACCACATCATCAGCTTTTAATGTGCATGAATTAAAATTTTGATTTTTTTAAAGTTTTTAGTTACTTAATTAGGCTCTATAGAGTATAGATTATATTTTTAAATGCTCATATTTGTTATTTAATTTAAAGAATGTCCCGTTATATTTTTTCGAATGCAAAATTATCTATTTTATTGTAAATTGTTAAGCTCATTTTGATTTTGGATATTCTGATGAATATAAGTCAAAATTCGATCGAACAGTTTTTTAGTTATAAATCTTTATGAACTTATATTAATGATAATAGTAATCAGTAGATGATAATACACTTTCAATATGTATAATTAAGTAGCCTTTCATGCAATGATTTAAAAATTATAGTAATTTATATTAACCTATATTAACGTTGATTTATAATTTGTTAATATGGTTCGAGCATAATGATAAATGAGTATAGGTATTCGAATAAAAATTAAATCTATTATAGGTGCATTGTATAGACGACCATTTTTTGGACGTTATTCGTACAACGCAAGGTTTTACAATCCAAAACTTTAAAATAGTATAGTAGGTACTAATTTTGATTGATTTTGATACTGGTAAAAAATCGTTAAATTCATTATTTGCTCATCAGTAAATAGGGGTGATTTTCACTTGGAAACCATAGGAAAGTCTAGGGAAATCTTTAAACGGTGTAAAACAAAAATCTAAGCATTCGAACATGATGGTATATTATAGTGTCGAGGAGTATAATATAGACACCTACTCGAAAGTTCCAAAAATCAAAATATATAATAAAGTCAAACAACATTATGRCGTTTAATTCATCGTGTGTCAGTTAGGGGTGAAGTGGGTGCTGCAGAACGTGCTCGACGAATCGCTCTATACATCATGATGCGTATATATAATAACAATAATATGTATACCGGTGGCTATATAATACGGACGCGATACGTGTACGCCGTGCGCTCGCGCAAACCGTTACCACCCCCTCGGGCTTGGTGCAGTTAGGAGGGTGTGAACGGTGGACGGGGGAGGCCTCTGTGTGGAGGGGACGGCGGTTCGGCGTGGCTGAGGCGTTGGACTGCGTGGGACGCGGCGGCGACGGGGTCGCTAAAACACCGCTGTACGACGGCGCGCCGCGGGGGAGGGTGGGGAGGGTTGCTAAAACACCCCTACACGGCGGCGGCGTGGTGTGCACGGGACAGCTGCGGTACATAGGTGTGACCCGATTTCGCGCGCGGACGACGGGGCCCGAGGCGGGTGGCGGCGCGTCCATTGCGCCTGTGTGTCCTAGTTGGCGCGCTGCGGCGACGGCGACACGGAAATCGTACGCCGTGGCACACGACGCGAGTCCGACGCCCGAACGCCATGCCCGCCGTCGCTATCGCCGCCGCCGCCGTCGTCGTCGTGTTAGCGCCGCCACTGCCGTCGTGGTCGCCGCGTAACGCCGCCGTGGCCAGCATCGCATACGAATGAGAAAAATGAAAACCGTGTGGTCCGAACAATAATATTATTATACTTTCCGCAGTCGTGGGTGAATCTTCATAMAGAGATTCTGCTCTTCGGCCCGCGACATTTCGTTAATAATATAATATAAAAAATCAAATTTCGTCGTGACACTCTCTCGTCGTTTTTGTACATTAAATGCGACAATAATAAACTATATATATAGGAATCATTAATAATTATTCGTTAATAAAAAAAAATAAAATATATTTATAATATATAAAACATACATCCGTTCCACGTGCACAGGTAATAAGGCATACGCGTATTTTATGTATATATATAAGTATTTTATTATAATATAATAGTATTACATGAACTACTGTTAATTTATATTGGTATATAGATACCTACCTCGATGTCTTAGCATACACAAATATTATAACATATATATTTTAAGTCATAGGAGTATGTGAATTTAAATTTTGACCAAAATTTTGTGAATTTATACATCTAGCTACTTGTCACTCACGTGTATTCAAAAAAAAAAAAAAACCATTAATTAATACGATTGTATTTACTTAAATTAATTAAATGGACTTAAAAAGTATTTCTTGTAAAGCTATGGACTTATAATATGTTTGCAATAATAGCTACGAAAATTRTTATAATATACAAATATGAAATAGCTATAGGTATACCTACCTGAATATTATAAATTATAACATACACGTTATATTTAAGAAGTATCAGTGACGTGCCAGGATTTTCCTTGGGGGAGGAGGGGCTGATCAATTCTTTACACAGTGGTGGTTTATMTAAGTTCTTCTATAATTTGAACATACAGATGCTGAAGTTTTATTTTTATTTTGGTTCCTATAACCCTTAGTATATATTGATTTAATATAGAATTTA